ACAAAATCAGTCGGTCTTACTCGGATGTCTTTTTTCATAGATGAATTTTTACGTCTCGGTGAGGGTTAATATTCTAGAAAAAAGCCTACGGGTCTGTCATTTTGTCTGTCTTGTTCTGAGGGGCCAGATTCAACAACAAAATGTATATTATTTTCAATGGTAAAGACCACAGAGTTTACGAGGTCTCGCTTAATATTTTTAAAGGCAACAACAACGGATTGTTCTAGTAGAAAGTTTTGAATTATTACTAGTGGATATATTTTCTGGGGAAATTGGTATACCCACTTAGAGTAATGGGAGAATAGATTGTTCGGTGTAAGGAAGCTTTGTTAGTTGGTTCAGGTACGTTTAGAAGGGGTTGAAAACGTTCTGGATCAGGTTTTATCGGACCACCTAAAATGGTGGAACCAAGAAGGTTCATAGAATTTTGATAAAATATACTTTTATCCTAATTGATATTTAAATTAAGGTGTTTGACAATTTCCTTAAATTTACGCAGTGCTTAGATTGAGTTCGGCCACATATAGTTATATTGTCGATATAAGCATAAGGGTTTTTAATATTATCCCTAATTACTTTGTCAATGACTCTTTTAAAAACTAAGAAACAATTTGTAACCTCGAAAGGGACCCGGCAGAATTGATAAAGTCTGTCAATTGATCCAAAAGTTGTAAAACGTGTTGTAACGACAAAAGTACGCAGGCTGTAAGAAAGCTTTATTCAAATGAGAATACTTTTATAGTCCCAGTAAACAGAAATAGCTCTCTCAAATAGGAGAGTAACAAAACAAGGGGAGACCACTCTTGGTTATTCATAACAGGTGTATCTTTTTCTTTTTATCCGGATTTGGTGGTAGGCGCTGTGCAAATCAATGGAACCATTGGCTTCAAAGTAAGCGGAGGTGGCAGGGTGACTAAATTAGTAGTCACCACAACATGGACACGTTGAGGAGAGAAAGGTGAAAATAAAATAAAATGGTTTCCGTATTAGCAGTGGGTAGGTTGATAAAATATACGGTTCGGCCTGTCTCTTCCGGATGCGAAAGTAAGATGAATATTATGTCGCTCGCGAAACAGCTATTTGCAATTTGATCCTTCGGATTGAAACTAAAACCTTTCTTTTACCTTTTGGATGTAGGATAAATAAGGTTGTATACTGACATGGACTTAGTAGGATAATCTTCGATCTATAATCTATGGAGATGTTTACAGATAATCTCCTTTTTTGGCCAATGCTCTTAGTCGCAAAATAGAGATCAGCTAGAGCAACAAACTTTTTTTCACTTTCATAAGGTCATGCATTTTTTTGATGTACTCGAAAATATGTATAGCTACAAGTCAACACCACAATGAACATGCGATCAGGAAATATAAATATTTAGTAAGCTTTGCCTGATTTCATTATTTGGATGCACCGTGGAATGGTCAGAGTGACGAGTAGGTGGGCTTACTAAAAAAAAAAAATCATAATTTGAATCCAGTTATCTACTTTTAGATCCCTAATAGTTTTTGTGAGTGGGTGGGGGAGATAATTTTT